CTCCAGTTGCTAATTCTCAGTCAAAAGAGAACCTTTATTTTTTTCCTGTACTTCCTATAAATCATCACTGTTGCCACTGATGCTGCAGCTACTGGTCTGTTCACTTTATTTTTCTCACTTTCTGTATTAGGGTTGAACAGTGACATTTCTTCTGCAGCAGCATTTCAGTCTCATTGTGGGCAAATAATCTTCCATGCTGCTTCTGTTTCAGCAAAAAGTCTACACAGTATTATTTATTCTCTGTGTAATTTCAGACCCATCACACTTTGCAATTTAATTTTATGTCTTTCATGCTGACTTACCTTAATTGTAACACGGGTTAAAATGCACAGTATTTAACATCAGCAAAACATCAACATTTACAGATATCTGCAATAAGGCCAGGCTAGATAATAAAAACATCTGATTAATAAAAATACAAAATATTCAAAATGTAAAAGCTAAAATGCCCTTTCTGGAAAATCATTACAATTCTTTTTTTATTTTCTTTTGTTGTTGTTGTGGTTATGGATAAAGTTATGAAGATCTCCAGGTATTAAATCGAGTTTTGTTTTAATTGCATGACCTAGGATTCTATTAATGATCAATTCTGAACCCTCCACCTCCCTATAGACTCTTAGAGCTAATGAGAAGAGCAGAGAATTATTGATTGAAACTAATGTGGCTTCCTTGTGGATCTTGAATTTCTGTGTCAAACAGCATCAATCAATGCCAACTGAAAAGTACATTAATTATAATGTATGAACAAATTATAACAAATAAGATCATATTAAAAAAATCATGTTACAATGTTTGCTAATGAATTAAAAATATAAGGGGGAAAAAAAAAAAGAAAAAAAAAAAAAAAGACTGATTTCCAAATAAATTGTCTGAAAGCCTGAACTCAGTTACTTGAGTGTCTGCCATTCAATGTTCGGGAAGTTCAGAAATTTTGGAATTTGGGATCTATGTCCCAGGTTTTTTCACTTCACTTAGTGGACAAAATTCAAACATGAAACATGTGAATGTTCTAATCACAGAATATGGGTAAACAAACTAAATAGTGCAAAACTCATTTTCCTCAAATAATTAAACTACTTTTCTAATACACAATTTTCCTCTTATCAACTGCTTCTATCTTCTGAGGAAAATTTCTGTTTACTTTTGTTTCAGAAATATATCTTGGATAGAATTCCTGAAATCTATTTAACATTTATGTGTTCAATACATACTCCTTAGGAACTTGCATTCTACAGAAAAACTTTGGCATAACAAATATTATTTTTGGACAGTTGTTCTCTTGAAAGAACAAAAACCATGGGTGCATGTGTACACAGACTGCTATCAAGGACTTTTTTCATTTGCTTTAAAACAGTTCCAAATTAGTGAAGGTACTGTAGAAAAATAGAGAATAATTGCTCTCTTCCAATCTCTCATAGATTAAAAAACTGATTAAGCTTGACTGATACATATGGAAAATACTGCACTGATAAACCAAATGCTATATTGAAATTTTTTATTTCATCTAAGTAATGCGACTGAGGTCATTATTATGGAATTTGCTCTCTCTCTCTCTCAAAAAAAAAAAAAAAAGGCTAAGGAACACAGCTGTAAATAATAATAATGCAACTTGAAGTGAAGGCAAGCTACTATCAAAGTATTGCAAAACCTACATTCATAAATCAAAAATCACATCACAACAGAATAGACCATATACATGCTATAGCTTAGTGGGATTAGGACTGAAGCAATCAGCACTAAATCATGCCTGAAATCAGGGTTAATACTGTTTTGTTTTGTTTTTCTTTTTTTTATTACATAAAAAATGCCATACTTAAAGATTGAAAAATAAATAAATAAATAAATAAATTGAAAGACATTTCCAGAAAAGTTCTGTTCTTCATGTTCTGTTCAAACCTATCCCCAAGCACAGCATTTTCATTTTCTAAGAATTCCAGTTTTCTATATCTGACAGATACTGTCTCTCATGTCTACAGAAAATACCTTAGTTGAGTAGCAGTGGAAATCAGAGTGGAGTTTGGTAATCAACTCAGGCCTTATTCTAAAAGGTACTTTGACAAGTACAATCTCAGGCAATGCTTCTGAGGTTTAAAAGTCCTTAAATTGCTTACTCCTTTTGCTATAATAATTGACACTCACCTTTCAAAGCGTCAGGAATATAGAGCACATCCAAATATATTCTGTGGTACCTCTCCCATTAAACAATGAACCAGGTGCAACATGATGGTCTTTAAAGTTATAAAAAAATGGTAGTGCAGATTCAAAATGTAGTTTTAACAAAAGCTGTAACACAGTTGTTATGTATTTTTTTTTCTTGTTAGTGGGTTAGGAGGTCACAGTTACTATGCCTGCTTACTCCTCAAACAAATTTGCATTAATTATTAAAAGACTAAGGTCTAACCTGAGACCTTTACTTCAAAAATAATGTAATTAAAATCAAAACCATATAAAGAATAGTAGGTATTAAAACACGTTTTGCTAGCAGAAATGAAATCATAATAGCAGTACATTCGTAACATCAGCTACAATAAAAATAAAATAAAATATGCAAAAGCACATTCTATATCCCTTTCACAAAAGCTCAGAGAAAGATTTGTTTGGACAATGGAAAAAAAACTGAAAGTAATCTCTGCTAGATGGAAGATTTCAATAGATGGAAATACTTTTCTTTATTGTAAAAACAAAACAAAAAAACAAAAATCAACCAAAAAATGTGTTTGGCTGTGGTATTCCTCAAAGAGTAATATTCGACTTTACATAAGAAAGAAAAGTATCATTTCACAGACATGATTTTACGTAGATAAAATATTCTGACCAAGATAAAGCATTTAGTAGTTTTGTTTCAAACACTTTTTTCTAGAAATTGAGTTAAACAGCATGGGAAAATTCAGTGTATATTCTTTAAAGTATGAACCTGGTAAATGCAAAAATGGATACTTGCTAGTTAATGACCAGTCCATTTGCCAACTTTATTTACCAAAAGAAGATTACAGACAACATTAAGTGTTTGTTTATTCTTTCCCATAAAATTGTGCTTACCGTATGTAAAAAATCCTTATTTTCTTAACACCATTCCTAAATAAAAATTACAGACAAGAGACTTGGCTTGTGTTTTCTACTTAATTCAGAAATTCACTAGCCAGCTCTAAGAATTATCAAGCTTTTCAAGCTTTGATTACAAAATATCCTAAGATGGTCAAGGAAAGCAAAATATCACGTCCTACCCATCTGGTAGTCATCATTCTTAGAAAAGAGCCCAACATCTTAACAACAAGCATTTTATAAAAATGATGAAGAACTACGTTATTTGATCTTATTACAACTACCTGGAAGTAAAGTGCTTGAACATGTAATTGGAAACTCTAATTTTTGCATATTTCCTACTTAGTTTTCAAAAATGAAGTACTACATACAGAATCCTCCCTGATTAAATAACATCTAACCATAGGTCCAATAACCTAGCCCTCTGCTTTTACAAAATGATGACTAAGAACATTGAAAGCAGAAGTAGAATTTCAAATAGTCCTTCCTCATGAGTTTCCAACAATACTAAAAAAGATAACATATTTTCAAATATGTTATATAAGCTAATGTCACAATTGGATGGCCAGAGGTACTAATCTCTTTTTCCTGACAGATAGATTTTAGCTGTCTGAAGTCTAATTTCATTACCAGGGGTGCCTCAAAGCAAGACAAACAAAGTGAGTAGCAGAGAGTGACTAACTCTGGATACCCAAGTTAAAGTAAATGAATTGCACCATATGTCATAACTGACTGAGTAAAAATGCCTCTTTCACATCAGATTTTCCCATATAATTTTGTTGTTTTAAACTGCTAACGTTGTTGAATTTATTTTGATTCCTAATAAGTAGTTTTGCCAAAATTGAAGCTATAAATTACATAGGAAAATAATTCCTTTTTTAAGCAATTAAATCTTACAGTCTTACAGTACAACAGGAAAGAAGAGAATTTCTTGATATAGAATCAAATTATGAGACAGCTAAGAAACTGTATTACAGAGTACCAAAAACATTGAAAGAAAAACGCAAAAATAGAATGTGCATGATGTTCTATATTTAGTTTTGTGAGTAGGCTCTTAAATTTCCTTTGAGCTGTCTTCTTTGATAATCGCTGGTAAGACCGAATTCTGGAGAGGTATTCTCAGCAATTACTATTTGAGAACTCAACACAGAGTGTATTCAAAGGCTCTGTGATTTTTTTGTATTTCCATACATAAGAATCTTTTCATGTTTGTTAACAAAGCCTAGGTCAAAACAAGCCATTTTGCATCAAGTATTTTCTACATATTTCCTATTTTATTTTTATTATGAATGTCTGCTAACACATTCAATGTTCGCAGGCAGACCTGTCTTGAAGATTCTACTGTTGTTAACACCTTATTTAGCTGCCATACACAAATTCATCTCACAAAACAATATCAGAGTGAAATATTTTCATATCTCCTTCTATGTCAGCAGTTTTCCAGTCTGCACGCTATCACTGCATCTGCAGTGAATCATACAGAGTCACCGTTTTAAGGAGAGGAGGAATGCTGGACATATAAGGTGTATTCAAATATTATATTCCAGTTAAAATATCAATTTTTTTTCAATATTAAGTTTCAGTACAAGAGCAGTGACATGAGCTCCCCAGCTTTGAGGCACTTTTGTGGCTTTTTATATGCATATACATATTACAAGGAATAAAAGGCAGGAGGGAAATGCAATTTCACTGCTGATACAGTCATCACATGCAAAATACGACAGTAACACGCTCTCAGCATTCAACTGCACATCAAACTATAAACAAAAGGAAAAAAAAATTTTAAAAAAAAAAAATCACTTGAAATATACCCTTTTCGGTATTTCAATGGCATTACCAGTGCTAGCAGGAACATATAAAAATTGCTTCCAAAGAGCTTTTATTTGCTGACACACACTACTAGTTGACACCGCTCTCATATTGGCAGAAACTAATTGAATAGATCTTTTACTTCTTACCATCAACACAGGCTGGCCTTGCTCTTGTTGTACCGGCAATCTGTCCTTTTTTACATGCACAGCGAGCTGTTTGTCGAGCTATAGTCCTTCGGGGTTGACTGCTATCTCTGTCCAAAGTAACAATCTCACATGTACCTGCAGCCAGTTGACCTGGAAAAAGAACCAGCAACAGGTACCAGAGTCACTGAATGCACTGCAGGCAATCTATTACAGCCGAAGAGAGTCATGGCCCTACGTCACCACAGACACTCAACAATAAATGGCAGCCAGCTGATGGATATAATAAAACTGAAATGACATACAATTTTTCTATGTGGTGGACATATGAAAACCCTGCAAACTGGTTCTGTCAGAAAATGATTATTGTTCCATAAAAGCCAGAGAGTTGAGGTCACACAGGTTACTTACGTCGGCTGAGTAAAGGAACAATCTACTTTTACAGCCATAAAATTTAAATTGCATGCTCTTCATGTATTTACAAAAAAATGATTAAGTATATGGAAAACAAAACCAGACAATATTTAAAGGCCTTCTCCATATTCATGAGTATGATTTAGTCTTAATTGCTTCATGTGTTATTCCTGAAAGATCAGGTGCATCAAAGAATGCCCAATTTTGTCAGGCTCTTTGGCTCTTGCTTTGCATAGGGTCTTAGCAACTCATGCTCTACCTGACTCAGTTTTGAAGTAGCAAACCCCCTGTCTTTCCCTAAACTTACAATTTAACTATTCTGCATATGACAGTAAATTGGCAGAGCCTCGTTCGCTCAGCACCACTTGCTGCATTTTACTGACTTCTTCAGTGTGTTCCTGAATATTATGAAAACCCACCCTACAGCTTGGACCATAATGTGAGGGACCAAAAAAATAATAACAAAAAGTTACAAAAATTTGTTCTCATGGACTCTTAGTCAAAAGTAAAAGAAGTGAAAATACTACAATTAAAATGGCATATAAGCAGTATGCTAATAATGTAGCAAAATACTATCATTTTACAAGCAAGAAAGATCTGTTATAGAATTTCAGTGCTTAGTAAGACTGAAAAAAAAAAACCAAACAGCCATCACCTTTAACTATAATTTTTGCATACATACTGTACTACTAAACAGCATTTCTGTTGGATTCTGTCTTTTAAGCAATCAGTTATAACACTTCAAAGAAATATATGCAAAAATATGTTTGCAAGCCATGAACTATATTCTCTTTTCATAAAATACTGAGATTGAAATAAATGTAATATTGTATTTTTAACATACAGTTTAAAGAATACTCAAAGTTAATTTTTTTCATTGTGTTGAACTTCTGAAAAATAATGAGAGAAAAAACAGGAATTTTAAATCTGCATTAACTTGAATTGAAAAAATAGTGAAATACATGTCAGCAGTGTTTAATTGACACCTACAAGTCTAATGATATTTCTTTGTACTGTATTTTTTTTCTATTCTTCTCAGAATCAGCCTTCAATGTTTTCTTTTTTTGTGGTTATAGTTCTGAAATTTTCAGAATACCAAAACACTGTAGGCTGTCAACAGTGCTGGTACTTGTTCAACGCTAAGCTACCTAAATTTCATGTTGCTGTAACTCCTACACTACAGTGAATGTACAATGTGGTAAAAGTAAGGATCATAAAGACGATTATAGAATGAAGTGCTCTAAAAATTCATGCAAATATATAGAGGTTATAGATATTAAGGCCTTCAGAAATATAGACAAGATATTCAACAGTCAAAATCACTGTAATATTTTAATGGTTACTGGCAATCAGACTTAAGAGCTAAGTCAATCCTGACTTTCGTTAGCTTTCTACTCTTTTCCACCCACGCTATTAACAAAAACATCTTAGGATAAACATACTGATGAGGGGATTTTTACTTTGTTATATGCTATTTTTTTTCAGAAATCTTGGGTTAGAAAGCAACGGTTTAGCAAGCAAGGAAGTAGCATGTGATTCTTCAAATGCAGGCAGGGGAAATCCATACACTGAGAAATCCTGAGCTGAGAAAAAAAGCATTAACTTTCACCCATTGCTAATACATTTCATTCAGGATTGCAAGATACGCATCCCTCCCAAGGAATGAAGCTGTCTTAGTAGATCAAGAAAAAAAGACACGATCAGAGATGCATTTAGAACATGACCCCTTAGGCATCTGAACATCACGCTTAAGGTTCTGCATTGAGAATAGAAATTGAATGGAAACCAAAGAAAAATGGAAAGTGCAAATATGATACGAGTAAGTGCTCCTGAGAGAATGGGCTATCTTATTCTCCCCTATCTGGAAGTCTTTATACTATTGTTATTTTCATTAAAAGATAATTTAAATCATATAATCTAGGTAAATCATTGTATAAAACCCAATTTCATAGGAAAGAGACAAGCATGGTGAAGGTTAATAAGAACTACACTCAAAATAAAAACAACACTGAAGCTTTATGTAAAGATAAATTTTAGGGAATGCAAGCAGTGAGTGTTGATAAACATGTCCACAGACAATATTTCAAGGCAGTTTCAAGAATTAGGGTACCTTTCATTTTCATGGAAGTTGGCACAATGACCTCTTTAAAGGACATTAATGAAAAAAGGCCAATATTTTTAGTAGATCCTATAGATGTACTCACAGTACACAAACAAATTCACCTCTATCCAACCCGAATGAAACAATCTTGAGGGGAAATAAAAAGACAAGCACCACCAGTGAACTTAGATTCGCTGAATAGTCTGAAAGGTTGTTTGTTTATTTTCCAAGAAAATGTCTTTTGAAAACTATTTTATGTATCAAAATAAAGACCAAATATTCTTTCAAAGTTATAATAATCCTTTTACTTAAAAAAAAAAAAAAAAATGTCTAGCTATTTCTTTGCTATTGTTTTAAGGAGGAAAATACGTCAGTTCTCTAACAGCAAATAAAATCTAATTTGCGTTCATTTTAGTAAGCAAGCTATAGATATTATGAATTTTAAATTTATTCATGCTGGAAAGCTGAAAACTTTTCCCCAAAATCTTTTAAGTAAATAAAATCAGATGATGAGCTCATAATATCTGTGAACTGAATGGCAATAAAACTTGATCTAAGTATATAGGTCTTTCCAGGGTTTCAGATTTCACGTTCATCCAGAAAATCTCTTAAATTGTATATACAGGGTTATATTGCAGTTCCAGTGAATAATTTTTTTTCCATGCATCATAAATTTGATGCCTAGCAACACAAGCTCTTTTAGTTTAAAATGCATAAAGTTAGATGTTATTAAAAATCTTGGCTAGATTCAGATACTCTTTTGTCAGAGAACACAATGCAGGAGTTGTTTCAAAATCAGATCATAGGAACACATTCAGTAGCTTTCTATTACAATATTGAAGGCTTTCTGACAACAAAGTCATGCAAACTCTTGAGCAGAGCTGAATATCAGCAATTCTCACTGAAACAAAGGGGAACTTAAGTATATAGCATAATTTATGATCTGACATTAACCTGCATGTCAAATATTTCAACATATTTTGATCATTTTAAGTGTGTATTTAGCAGAACTTTTTTTTAAATTATGTATCCTTCCTCAGTGAAGATGTTCTGCAACAAGATCTTTTGACTTAAACATCATTCAATTTCAGACAGTCCTACTACCTTTTCTTTTCCAATTTTGGTTCAGAACAAGAAAGATTACAACAAAGGACTGATTTGCCCCACAGAATGCCATTCACTTTTACTCAACAGCAAAATTTGTAGAAATTCATTTAGTATAAAACGAGAAAGATCAACTTAAACAAAGCTGCTGAAAAAAATGTTACTTAATGTGAAGCAACAAACCAGAATTGGCTAAGCTTCTGTATCTCAGCATGGGAACAACTACTCAAATGAACGAGCACAATTTCAAAACAACTCTCAAATAAGAACCTTGTTTCAATTTTAACATATGCAATAGACAAGCTTTTTTTTTTTTTTTTTTTTTTTTTTCCCCCAATAGAATGTATTCATATATTTCCATCTTACATTACTAAAGTTTCTGGCACTGAAAGCATCTGCCACCAAGATGCTTAGCATGTCATTTAGGATCTTGTAGAATCCAAATCTTTCTATTGAAACATACTGTGGCTGTTGAACAGATTACACAGCAACTCTTCATGCCTCTACAGTTAAACAACTTTTTTAAAACACTTCTTGAGTTTTATTGTGTTTATATATATGCCATCAATAGAAAACAAGACAGATGCCATTGTCACATAAACAAAAAGTAACTTATTTGGGTAATATTGATTTGCCAGTGCAACATACAGGTACCCAGTAAATCAAAAAGTGGTAGGCAGATTTTTTTACAATTTCCCATTTGCTTTGCTTCTGGTTGAGAGCTATACTTGGCTGGAATCATCCTTGCCATGTGACTGCTGTAATTCCACAGTCTTAAAGGGAATTATTCTGGGTTTTAGTTGTATAAAAACAGCATTGGTATCACAGCATGTTTTTAGTGCTCATTCTACAAAGCAAAAATCATTATAGCATGCAGTTAAGAAAATCTTATGAATAACATGAGAAAAATACGATGAATGTCTTCTCCTTTTAAGAGAGTGACTTTAAATATTTTCAGAGTTTCACTGCAACAACAGTGAACATTATGTCCCTTTAGTTATCACTAATCTTACTGCAATTTTCAGACTACCACTTAGCCATCTCAAGCACATACACAGGACAGACATTAAGAAGATTGCAAAATAGCTTTCAGCCCTTCCATTCTGAGATGAGCAGTAAATTTTAGTTAAGATAGATTATCTCCTCCTAAATAGTTGCATTGGGAAAAATAATAATAATAATAATAATTTTGGAGATTCAAGGACCCATTTTGAAATTACATTTTTTTCTAGACAAGACTAATGTTCTAACTTATTGAATCTGATACTGCTGTTGAATGCAATTGCTTAGTATCATACTGTTAACGATTTAACACAAAGAAAAAAATACATATGCAAAACCAAACTTCATAAAAGTTGTAAACATAAAGGACAAGATTCTGAACTAGTCTTCATAAGGAATTGACACCAAGTGGAATTCTAGGCCAGAAAAGGGATGAACAGTGGTTTTAGTACACGGCAATCTCACTCCTCAGATTCCCATACAGTCTCATATCAAAACCAGCAGATGCTGCATATTACAACAAAGAAAGAAA